CCCTTTGCTTATGTTTTTTTTTTCCACCATTTGCTTATGTTTTTCATTATTTATTTCTACTATTTGACTTCATTTTTATATCGGAAATTGACTATTTATTTATTGGGGTAACTATGCAGGAGTCACAAAAATGAGTTATAATTGCATTATAGGGCAAGATACAATTTGTAGTTGCATTTCGAGCACCCTACCAAACCAGTGAGTTAAGTCGTTTACATTGTTCGCACTACATTTGCAAACTGTATTTGGCCCATACTGTAATTATAACTCATTTATGCGACTCCCTCGTAGTTTCCTTTTCTTTAGTTTTTTTCTTTCCCCCCTCTCCTCTATGGTTATTACTCTCTTTACTTAATTAGGGTGCCGCTACCCCATCCTAATCCCCCCAAAGTCCGGTTACGGATTTCTTATGGTTTCCCCCCCACCCTCATTTTTTGGCTCCTTTCGTCGGGCTTGCTGAACCCGAAGGGATCCTCTCCCTTCGACCGGCTCTGAGTCATCTTCTCACACACGATCGACTAATCATGGAACAAGCCGACTCACAACTGCTCACTTTGTTCCCGTGGTCCTCTCCCTCTTACTGGTGGACCCCTTTCCCCGCAGTGCAACCTACCTTTTTCCCCACCACTCCCTCCTCATCCCGCTATGTCTACCCCCCTCCCTTCACCATAAACGGACGAGCGTATACTCGAGGAGATCGTTGATGCGTCGTTCATCTCTCAAACGCCCATTTAGCTGACGACACAAGGTTTGGCCCCTCGGAACCTTGAGACCGTCCTCGCGGCCCTTCTTGAACCTATGCAACATGAAGCGCAACTCAACGCGCTCGCCCTCGACGTCAACCACCTCAATGACTCTCCTTCGTATTTCCCCAACTACTCTCCTACTCCGAGTCTCTCCCCTACTAGGTCACAGTTCGATTTTTCTCAACTCCAGCCCGGGAGACGTGGTGGTGTCTCCTCTTCTGTGGTTCAGACCCAACACTCTCCCTCTGCATTGGTGAGCATCGTTTCCACTCAGACTACCACGTTTATTGCAGCACCTTCATCGGTTTTCACCGCTCTTGTCGCTTCGACCACTACCGTAGGTGCTGCCACTCAGACATGCTTATCTGCCCACCCGGGTGCTACTTCCAAGGTCCTCGTACACTAACGACATTACAACCTGAAGTTCTACCTTCTCCTCCTATCTCCTTACCCCCACCTCAAGGCACCTTTTAGTTCGTTACTCCTCCCTCCGCTAGGGTAGTACTCTCTTTAACTCCTCCATCTCCGAACCCACGCACCCAGCGAGTGGCTACCTTGCAGGTCACCCTAACGCAAATCCAGGCGGAGGTACTTATCATGCCAGTGAGGCAGTATCATTCACCTTTCTTCTTCTCTTACCCCCCTTCC